ACCAAATGCCTCTCAAGTGCAGAGCAGGAAAATTCTGTTTTACAGAATTACAAAGTAATAACCCTGCAAATTCTCCATTAATTGATCAGAAACTATTTGAAGGAGGATACAGTGGAAAAAAGCTATCACATAGTAGTTTTACAATTATTCCTGGCCACATGGCTGCACAGTTTCTTCCAAAGTGAATTTACTGTCCAGGGATGTAGCCCTTTCCTTCTCAAATAAGCTACCCCAGTTTCAGACTCCAATTAACAGTAGATGATATGTATACTACAAGGTCTGGTTTATTTTTTTGTTGTCTGCATTGGTTTTCCCTAACTGATACCTCAGATGAAAAGCCAGTTCTCAAAACTGAGGATTCTTGTGATCCTGAGAAGTGTCTTCTGTCCTACCCTCCCACAATATACCATGWGTCTAAATAAAACTTAGAATTTTGGTTTTGTTTGAGCTCGGGGCAAAAGGATCACTAGGAATTACAGGACCTTGGTGAAATATCAGCTTCCCTGTAATCAGGAGTATTTTTRGACTTCCCAGTTCACCTGACTTTCTCCCAGCTCAATCTCTGCTGCTCTCTTCATTCTCTCTTCTTCAGTTTTCTGCTCAAATGCTCTCCATGCCTTCTCAATCTGACTCAATTCTATCTCTAGTTCTTTTATGTTCTGCTTTTCCTTATCACAGGATTTCTCYTTGTCCCTTAGAGATTTTTTAGACATTTCTACTTTCTTGATTTGGTAGGATGTGTTCTCCTTTGCTTTTATATAGAGGGGTCTCTGTTGAATCAGTGATGCTTCCAGAGTCCTAAAAAACAAAACCAAAACCAAACCCAAAACAACCAACCCAAACCAACCACTATAAAAACATAGAGAAAGCAACAAAGCCATACGAAAGAGCCACAGGGAAAAAGGAGAGAGGGAAGATAAAAGACCTCTCCCCCCCTGCCCCAACCACATAGGCAAACAGCAATTTTTAAACGATATAATTTTTAAACCTTATAGTTTAAAATGGTATGCCCACAGGGGATTTTTCAATTTAGATCCTCTGAAAATAGTCATTTAAGGAGTGAAGGATAACCTCCTAAAATTAAATAGCAAACAAATATTTATATAATGAAATATGTATCTAGGCAGGGCAGAGCAGGTGAAAACCATGTCTAGATTTTACTTCATTGAACTGCTAGGAACTGACTGCCACAGTACTGTGCTATCACCCAGAATTTTAACAGGAAATGTACACCTGCCAAGCGACTCCCAATGCAGATAATGCTTCAATTCAACTACCACAGAATCTGATTGGAAAACCTACTTCATTTCTTTTTCCATATGCTGCTGGTCCCTGTTTAGTATCCCAAACATTTTTTTCTTGACCTTAAATGAATCTTCTGCTTCAGAAAGAGACTCTTTCTTCATATAAGCCTCCATATTCTTTTCCTCCAAACTGTTTTTCAGAMAAWCTATTTTTTTTTCATTGTGATAAAKCTGAAAAAGCTGCAGCTGTAGCCTTTCTTCATCCAGTTCCTTGATTAGCATCTGGTAATGCTCTGCCTACCAACATCAAAATTTAATTTTCAGTTTATAACAACTATTTTCCATCACTAACAACCTTAATTTCAAGGCCAAAGTGATGCAAGATGACATACAAGTAGCTGTAATTCCAGTTAAGTGCACTAATCATAAAACTCAAATTTTTAAGTCAATACTTGAATTAATTATACTGGCAAGCCTATACTTTCTTTGATTTTACTACATGTATTCTACCACYTTTTTAAATGATACTAAACTATTATATAGCATGCCATACTGAAAAAAAAAATACTGGACTAAAACCAACAGAAGTTTGTAGGTTTGTTTTTTTTGGAAGTCCGTAAGAAATGCAAAATGTGGCATCTTAGCATGAAAAAATTTATTAACTTGGGTTACCTCCTCTTTTTCTATYCTTGCTTGTTTGCGCTCTGCTGCCACACTTTTTTTCTTGTTATAATTAAACTTTGCATCTTGTTCTGCTTCCTGCATTTTCTTCTTTTTTCGCTCATAGTCTTCAGCATATTCCCATGAATTACTGATTTGTTCAAAAAGTTGAGTTCTCTCCTTTGGCTTCTTCATTGCAATTGATTCTACTGTTCCCTAAACCAAAATTGAAAACAAATAAATAATAGAGCACTGTAGATCACTCTGATGCCTTATGAATTTAAGAGCATACAGTACAGACTGTCCTCTGTATATATTTACAGTGAACACAGATGGATAGCAATGCATTTAGATTCAAACCCAAGGAAGAATTAAGTGCCAAAATGAGTATCACCTAGCCACTCAGGTTTCTATGTTTCTATAAAAGGTGAAAATTGCTAAGGAAGAATGGATTTTCATGAGTAACTCTAAGGAAAATGAATCCATGAAATGTGTTCATCAAACATTTAAGGCCTATGTCATTAAATTCTTGGAAACTAATAGCTAAATAGAAATTTCAATCCTTCAGTCTTAACAAGAAATCCTTCACATTTTCAGGCATCTTTATTAACAGGAGTTTTAAGATGAAATTACTTTTTCCTAGCACTCCYGCAACTGAATACACTAAGCATTTATACAGACCTTTACTTTTTTATATATTGTGAATAACATCTACACCCAAATTCTTCCAGATTAACTTCTTTCTTACTAGTGCATGCATGTACATACAAATCCCACTAAATCTATACAAAACTGTGCACTTTATGAAATAACCTYAGAAGTTTTTGTTTTCTTTCCAAAGTACCTTGAATGCTCACCTGAAAAATAAGGCAATTCCTGGCCTTGACAAGAATGCCTACTTTTTCAAGCTCAGCTACATAYGCAGATCGGCTGACAGACTTGTCATTGAAATAAAATTCAGTACAACTACCTAAAGGAGGAAAGAAAAAAAAAAAACCACTACTGAAAATGGCTACATCAAAAAATCCATTTGAAAATAATTAAACTAGTGGAATAATTTAACTGAGCAATTTTTTCAAAGAAAACYACAGATTTCAATTACTCATTTATTCCTTTCAATAATTTTTCTGTTTGAAAATGCRGGTTTTAGTACTGTCTAAAGGAACTGACAGGTTTATGTGCTCATGCCTGCAGCAAGGTATCAGACCCCATTTCCTAAAGCATAGGCTACAGATTATCTATGTAATCTACAGATCCCAAGGAAMTATCTAGAGACAGCTATACAGCAAAGAACATAAAATAGCTTGCTTAATTTTTTAACTAATTAACCCCAATATTTTTTTTCATTTATATCACTATTAAAATGCTATCCAAATGCTATACTAATCCTCCCAACTATGAAATAATATAGAGCATCCCAGGTGGAATCTTTGGTCTCCMTTTATTTATAAATCAGACAACAGACAGTATATGCAACAGAATCTACTACCTACCACGGATAACTCTTGAAAATGTTTTTTCTTCCCCATCTTCCTCACAATATACTATCTTTACACTAGCTGTAGAAGAAACAGGTCTTCCAACATGTGCTCCATGAATAAGCTCTCGAACACTTTTAACTCGCAAATTTGATGTCTTTTCACACATCACAAAGCTAACAGCATCCATTATGTTAGATTTTCCTTAAAAAGTAAAAAAAAATAAGAATTTTTTTGACATGACATAAATGAAAGCATTTTATTAAGAGTTAGTTAAAGAATCTGCAGAATCGCCAAATCCTTTATAAATCCTGAAGAATACAAGCACTTTCCCAGATCCATTCACCACAGCAACAAAGCTCTCTGGTCATAGTCCTTTGACAAAAATCCTCCTAATGGAATCCTSTTTGTTTTACCCCTTTCATCTTGAGCATTTCTGCTGACGGCTTAATTATTTTCAGCCTTAAACTCTGCTACTTGGACAATATTTTGACTTATTCTCAAAARTATCAAAAAAACATGAATACTAAAAGGAAAACAGAGAAAAATACTCTATGCAGGGATTATATAATGTTATATAATGTTATATAATATAACACTTCCCCCCCCCCCCAGCATTCATCTATAAAATGTACTCAGATTTAACTGAGAGTACCTGCAAAAAGTATCATAATTCTAAAACTTTACAATACAGAACAGTGGGGATAGGATGATAAAGAACATGAAAACAATGCTAAATATATTCAACTTACAGTCATAATCTTACTTCAGTCGGGTAAGGGAGGAAACTAGAGGGTCTAAAAATCTGAATTATAAATTAAATCATTAACAGACTGGGGCAACTAAAGTGAAATGTTAAACCCATCCTTGTTGTGTTAAGGCAGCTCCCACCGCCTAACGCTCTGGAAATACAGGAGATAAAATCCCCTTTGTTGAATGGCGCTTTCTGAAGCAGAGATCAATTTTTAAGACTTTTAAGGMTCACCACCGGCGCTGCACCGACAGAGCAGGGCCCGTGTGAGCCCCGCCTCAGGGCAGCCGCCATCTTACAGAGCTTCCCGGAGAGGAATCATAGTCAAACACCAACTCCATCACGAAGATTTCCACTGGTAGAGCCGACAGTATTAAAATAAAACCATCTTTGTGTGACCTTTGTGGGCAAAGCAAGGTGTGCTGTTTGCGAACCAAGGCTTTCTGCTCAAGCTGGAAGGCACCAACTCGAAGTAAAAATTTAATCAACTCCCTCTCTACCCCCGGCCTGCTCCTGCCCTTCCATTTGGGAGAATCTACACTTTAACCGAATAACAGAGCAGGTGCTTCCAAGGCTTCATTTGTGCTGCCACCCCTTCATGTTCACAAGAGACTTTCAKCAGGTCCGTGAGGCTAAACCCCACCAAACTGAGCCCTCAATGCTGACAGCTGATGCAGCAGCTGCCCCACACTACCTGATCCATTGGGCCCGATGATGCAGTTGAACCTCATGAAAGGGCCGATAAGCTGCTCCCCGCGCCACGACTTGAAGTCCTTCACCACCAGCAGCTTCAGGTAACCCATCCCCGCGGGGAGCCGGGAGCGCCTGAGCTCCCCACCTCAAAGAGCCGACAAATATTTCACCAATCGGCCTCGTCAGCGAAGGGAAACCCCSCAAAGGCCGGCACCGCCCTCACAGCCGCCGCGCCTCGTGCAGCGGTCTCGCCCCGCCCTGCGGAGCCGTGCCGGGGCGGCGCTCCCGTTCCCACAGCGACGGACCGCGTCCCGTCCGGGCTGGGCACCACCGCTCCGGGCACCGCCGCTCCGGGCACCGCCGCTCCGGACAGCGCTCTCCTTCCTGCCCCGCTGTTCCATCCCGCTGCTCCCTCCCGGCGCCATGCACAGGCCGGGCCCGCTGCGGGATCTCGACGAGGCCGCTGCCCGGGAGCTCCGGCAGCGGCGGGAGCTGCTGCGGCGGGAGCGCATCTTCAACCCACGGATCCGCACCATAGGGGTGAGTGAGGGCGGGCAGGAAGGGAAGGAAGGAGAGAGGGAAGGCGCAGAGTCCGCTCCATGGAGTTCTGAGGAGAATGGTTTAACGCGGGATAGGGAGGGAAGGGGTGGCTGAGGCGGTCTGGGCGCCCTTCCTCCCTCAGGTGTGTGTGTGAGGGGGAGCAGGGAGAGAGGGCCCGGGGTCAACTTTCAGAGTCGCGTTTAAAGTTACCGGTGAAAGAAGTCACAGCGTTTTTACGGTTGGGAGGGAGCTCTGAGGATCATCCACTCCAATCTCCCGCCTAGGCAGGGTCAGAGCAGGTGACTTAGAAACATGTCCAGGTGGGTTTGGAATACCTTCAGGGAAAACACTCCATGAGCTCCCTGGGCAGCTGCTCAGTACTCTGCCAYCCTCAATGGAAAGAGGTTCATCCTCTTGTTGAGGCAAAACTTCTTGTGTTCTGCTTTATGGCCATTACTTCTTATATGTACTTGTGCTTCGCTGCTCTGGGTTCAAGGGCAAGCTGTCATTGCCCCCGTAGAGCACAGAGATCAAACCCTGTGTTGCATTTCTGTGGAGGAGTTAATGTGGTTTGCTTCACTTTGAGAGAAGCCAAGAGCTCCCAGAGTCGCCTCACACAATGTGGCTGAAACAAGTTATTTTTAATTCTGTGCTCTGTGATACTGTTCTTGTCTGCTTGGATTTCACCAGAATGGTRGTGAAGAGAATGAATGTGAGAGATTTACTGCTGTAAGGGTCCTGCAATTGGTCCATATTTTGCATCAGAACAAACATATCCATCTTTGTTTACATATATGTAATTAATTGTTTTGTCTGATTTTTCTTGTGAATGTGAATACCTATCAGGCTGGTGGATTTTCTCCAGAGTTCACTATGCAGTTTGCATCTTTACATCAGGGAATGATGTGTTCTATGCCTATTTGACTTTGGATGCMGTAGTATGTTGAATCTCCCTGTGACATGTCCAAAGGTCCACATTAAGATTCTGTGAGTGTGCATGGAGGGAAGAGTGCTGTGGGGTGATTTCATTGAATTGATAGAATTGCAACAGATATCAGTTGGATCCCACTCTTCTCAGGTATGGAAACATGACTCRAGTCAGTGGAAAAGAATCTTCACCTTATCTCTTGAATTTACTGTTGTCACTCTAAATGCGAGTCATTGTAGCTGCAGAGCAATTAGCAGTTCCCACTTAATGAACATGACAGCTGTATCCACCTAGAACAGCATCCTAACATACACAATAACCAACAATATACTTAAGTRGAAAGAGCTAATATTTTTCAGCTGTTGTGGGATGGGTTAAAATAATTTCTTCTTCAGAAAAATATACTTTCTCTATAAACTGGCTTTTCTAGAGCCTTATAAATGAAGTGCAAACCATAAAATCTCAGTTAATGAAGTAACTGGCAACTAACATATCCTGGTGTATTTTATTGAGCCATATTGGAGTACAGCACCTGAAGGTTTTTACCTAAATACTTCCATAGAACTGACTTGYCAGGCAGGTTTTGATGGATCCATTTACATTAGAAAAACATCTAAAATGAAGCAGAGCTCATCTGGGTAATTTTGATTAACAGTRCATTTTGATTTAACATCATTTGATATACCTGAACAGTGAATCTGATAGAAGGGGCTGTTCTTATTGAAGTTAGGCAGGTCTGAAGMATAAAGAGCCATGAAATCGATACAGAGATATTCTATGTCAGTATTTCTGTGTAGGTTTTAGATTCTTTGCTTTTGTTCTCTGATCAGTTTAGCTGAGTGTCAGTSTCTGAGAAAATTGAAAAATCAGGACAATATTTAATTTACAAACCAGAAATCCTAAAGCAGATTTGAGTRTTTTAAAAGCATGGAGGTAATATACTGGAAAGCAGAATGGGATCCCAGATTTTATATTTTTTTTCCTTGATTATGACTAGTTTTATTACTACTTTGACTTCTGTATCTGTTTTGCCATCTGAGTTTCCACTACAATGGAAAAGTAAGATACTGTGCTCTTAGCTTAAAGATTGAAGAATTTATCCTCCATAAATCACCCATTTTTCTAAAGAGTTCAGATGAGTAATCCAAATGAAAAATTACTTTCAATTTATGTGTGAACTTTATTCAATAATAGAAGTAGTTGAGAAATTAGCTGCTTCAAACTGTTCATGGATATGTATTTTAACACTTTAAAGTGAAACCTGTAGTTTTATGTGACTGGGAATGTCTGTTTTAGGGATGTTTTTRTGTCAAGTGAAAGTATCTTGAATAGGAGAGAGCCAATAGTGTAACACAAGTCGATACACTGACCTACCTCTATTACTGCCAGAATACTGAGAACTTGTATTGAATTTCTCTTAACAGTATTTCCTGCAATTATATTGAAAGCTTAACTTCCCCAATGAGACTTCTGGAGGAGTTGATGTTTAGTGTCAACAAGAGCATTGTTTTTKGAGGATAGAATTCTTGATGGTTTCACCCTTGCTTACAAACTTAGTGCTATTGTCRGTTGTCCTTCACAGTACTAACCATGTGTATTTTCAGTCATAATCTGTTTCTGTCTTCATCTGAATAGTTTTTAGACAAAGGCTATTCAAATTGTTTACTAGATTCTTGAAGATTGGTCATTGTATTTTTGACRATTTTTAAAGACATTGACTTGACAGTGAAAAAAAGAAAAGAGTTAAAACACATATTTCTGCCTATTAATCTGCCACCATGTATCAACAAATGTGTGGCCAAAATCTTTTGCATAAAATGGAAGTGTCTGCTCCCATTTGATGATGTGGCCTACGTTATCCTTTGCTCAGGTCCCACTGTTATGGATGTGGATATTCTGTACCATATCTGTCAGCTCATCACAGATCATGTACCCTGTAGTGCATTTTGGCAACTATGTGAATCTCTCTGATAAGAATGGAAACATTTGCATTCTTCTAGTGAACCATCTGTATTTTTTTTTTTCAAATATGAGCTATTACAGCTTCCTGTCATCTTGGCTGTTAAGATACTTACCTGCTTTATAAATGAAAGCAGAGCAATAAAATAAAATTGCCAGTTGTAATGGGGAAAACATTTTCTGTGTAACGCAGCTGAAAATATTTATAGCTCTATGAAAATGTGGTGTTTTCACCTGATCAGGTGCAAGAGCATACTTATCATTAGTCAAACAAAGCAAACAAACAAGAATATATCTGCTTTTGGATTTGGTTTTACCTACATTAGTATTCTGCTGGTAATGGGRTTATATCTGTCTTGTACAACTATGAGTCCATGTAGCTTGACAATCTGTTTTAATTGTCCAAACACAGTATCTCTTAGAAAGCTGTTTTTTTTCTCATTTTAATAGGTTGATAAAGATGCATTGGATGCCCAGGTCAAGGAGAAAAAAATGAAAGAAGCAATTGAAAAAGCGCGACATGAACAATTTGGTATATTCATGGATACTGTGGTATTTCTGTGAATAGTTAAATGTTTCCATCTGTTTCCTTCTTTCTTTCATCCCTTTATGTATTCTCTAAATTCAGTCATCCAATTTATGTCCTATTTATATCCATACATCTACATGGGCACAGTATGTATTTTCCTTGCTATCTTAAGATTTATAGTAGCATGATTAAACTGGGATACATTGTCTAATAGGCCAGAATTTTCAGTGTTTTCTTTTAATAGCTATTGACAAACAGCATCATTTAAAAACCTGAATATGCAGGAGGATTTAAAAAAAAAAGTTAATTACTTGCCAGGGCCCTTTTCCCAATTTCATGATAGTAGTGGCTAATCTGTTTTGGTTGCTTTCTTGTAGAGTGAGCTCATGTTCTGTCTGGCCATTCTTCCATGGAATATATTGATTCTGTGGAATCTCTAGATTATTATTGCTGGAAGCATGAGTTATGTACAGGAAGGTGGTAAGAGGAGCCATTGCTGAGTCAGAACAGGCAGCCACACAAGTATTTCATGCTGTGCTTTGAGCTCAGACCTTTGGTGGCCTTCTGTGCTTGGCATGCTTTCCTGTGCTGTCAGGTGAAAAGGTCCCATAGCCTGAGCTCTCTGTGTGCTTCAAGAGGAGCTAGAATGGAACTGCCAACTTCCATGCTGAGCTTCTACAGCTGCTTGTGATTTTCCTGGCTGGAAAATGCACCTGTCAGGCTCTGAGCATTGGGAAACTACTGGCAGCAGTGTGGAAAAAAGAGGAAGTGATCTTTTCTAGCAAATTRTATTTAAATAACTCCAGTGGCTGGTTGGGTGGGAGTTTTGTTGTTTGTTTTTCTTAAAAATGCTGYAATTGATTTAGTTTAAATTAAATGGGCAGGAGCTATTAAGTTGTTCAAAACTGTTGGTGCCAGCCAATTATTTTAGTGCTATCATTAGAAAAATCATTGGAACTGTGGAAGAGATATCTGCATTCCTTTCAGCTGGRGTCCAGTTTTGGTTTGCTTCCTTGGAAGCAACAATGTATTTCAGCTGTTGCTGTGTACTAGGACTAAATGGGAACAATTGGTTTACAGTACATTTTTTGTGTTCCTGCAGGTTTTCACCAAACAAAAACCTCATAGTTCTAGTACTTACTATTGTTTTGTGTCACATGCATGTATTTCRTTGTAACTTTAATAAAATAATTTATACCTAAAAAGCTGAAAATATTTTGTAAGTAAATATTGCATTAGAGTGTTTGCTGGGCTGGTATAGACCCAACRTTATAGATCTAACATTCTCCTAAGGCATGACAGTTTGAAGACTTATATTCTGTTTATTCATCTTGAAAATTTTATTTTCATCTTCTGTGTGCACTCCAATGACACGTGCACCTCTAAGAGTTGTGGTTTCATTGTGTTCCTTTTTGTCTAGCTCATGAGATGAAGAAAAATGACAAGCTCATCTGTCTGCTAGAYGAACGACAGAAAAATGAAATCAAAGAGATAAATAGGGCTTTCGTTGAATTTCACAAGAATTTTCAGAAGCCAGAAACAAGACGTGAATTTGACCTGAATGACCCACAAGCCCTAAAGAAAGACCTGCCTGCTCGAGTTTCAGACGATGATCCTCGGTGTTCTGTGTCTGGCATGCAGAAGTTTGAAGGTGAAGACATAAATAGTGAAAAGAGGAAAAAGTTTCAACAGGAGCAGTTAAGAGAGTGGTCTCTTCAACAACAGAAAGATGTGAAGAATGCATTAGCTGACCAAAAATTTGAAGGTAACCAAAAAGATAATGTTGTTTTAATATCCTTTWTCTGAAGTTGTGATGCATCCGATGAAAATATGGTGCACCCTGATTGTATATTTAACTTTTAGAAGTGCTAGAGCAGTTTTTACTTTATAAGCTCCCATGTATTCACTATCTCTCTCAGGAAATCTCTAAATAATARCATGATTATTGTAATATCACCCAGGTTTCATTTCTTCATTACCTGCCTCCAGTTGTTGTGCTTACTTCATCAGACCAAGCTGTCCAATCTGTACTGCCCTAGAACAGAAAAAATAATACTGATTTTTCTTTCCCAGCTTGTCATGAAACAGACTTTTCTACAGTACTTAAGATATGTCTTTCATTTTAACAGCAACAGTTTTGGCAAGATAGAATACATATTGAACTGATTGATGGGTTACCTGAAATCCCAAGATGGAAAGCTTTGATAACAGCATTTGGAAATAGTTATTCAGCCTACTATATCTGTAGCCCCTGCCTCTTCCCCTGATTAACACATGAGGCACATCATGTCCATGAATATTGACTGAATTTCATTTGAATCTAATTTAGATGATCTTTATGACAAGTTTAGGATTGAACTTGACCGAAAGATAATGGAGGAACAAAGAAAAGAAGAGGAAAGCAGGCGTATTATTTGTACAGCTACTAAAAATTTCAATAAAATCCAGGTAAATTAATATAGTTTTATTGTTTATTTTTTAGAAAATATGGTGACAGAGAAGAAAAATAAGATGCACAAAATCAGAATGAGTAATAATGTTTTCACAGGGGTTTTTTAGCAGCTGACTMCCAAGGTTATTTCAGCAAATGGAAGATAGATTTTATTCACTTTGCCAAGTGAACAAAGGATCCAAGGATCTAGATGTCCTCTATCTAGTTATCATCTGCCAAAATTGTCCCTCCTGGTTCACAGCTTGCTGACTGGCAGGCAGAAACAGCTTCCCAGTCACTTGGGAGCTTTGAGCCTGTAAACTGGGGTACATCAAAAGKTTCCCATGCTTCCTTCTGTGTTTATATCAGTCCTCTCATACTCCTATTGTTTTTGCTTTTCTTTTCACACGTGTGGAAACATTGGTAACAGTAGCTTTTTGTCTTTATTGTTTACRTGAATTCCCCACAACCACTGGTTTTGGCATTTTGGCTGCTTCATGGGTGTTTGTGTACAATGTCTCTTGGTTGTTTACTGACCTTGCTTTGGAACCTGTCTTAGTACCATTTATCTGTCATGCTCTAGTTCTTCATCTTACTGCAGAGATCTTTCTTCTCTTTAGCTTCTACATACAGCTCAAAGGGCTAGATGGATGCTATTAGCTTGGTTAAACTGTATTTTTTGTTAACTTAGCTTTGAATTTATTTACTCACATCAAAATAACCACATTAGAATTACCTACATCAAGCATAGTAGTTTTTTGTTCAGYTATATAAGTATGCAAGTATATAAATGCTGCTTGAGCCTTTCAGGAAGCATTTGGCCTATAATTTTTTTTAYAGACAGCCTAAGTTAAATGAAAATCAAAATCTTAAAGGTACTGGAGCAGGCTGTCCCCATGTGCTGAAAGCCAAGCTAGTGGTGAAGACCAGCCTGGCTGAACAGACCACTTTGGCTGGAAATCAGGGAGAAAAAGAGACTTCATCACCTTTGGAAGAAGGGTCATGCAGCTCAGGAGGACTGCAAGAATGTTGTGAGGTCATGTAGGGAGAAAATTAGAAGGCCCAAACCCAGCTAGAACTTAATCAAGCTACTGCTGTAAAAACAATGAAAAATGTTTYTATAAATATATCAGCATATAAAGGAGGACAGAGGAGAATCTCTGTCCTTAGTTTGGGGGCAAACACAGTGACAGAGGGTAAGGAAAAGACTGAGGTACTTAATGCCTTCTCTGCTTCAGTCTTCAGCCCCCTGAGCTGTGAGGCAGGGATGGGGACCAGAATGTGGTTATGACGTGTTAACATTTTTTCATCYCTTCGTTTATATTTTCTCTTGGAAAAAATATCACTTCTCTCTTTTCACTGAATTTAGGCTGCTGAACTAGATTATAAAAATGAATTGGAAAAGGCTCAAAAAATAAAAGATGACATGGATGAAATTACCTCCCTCCTTCGAGGAGACTTACTTAATGAAAACCCTGAGCAAGCAATCGGTCGCTCGGGTAAACATCCTGTGCTCGTGGATCGATGGAAGGGAATGACTCAGGAGCAGCTGATGGCAATTCGTGAGGCTCAAAAGGAACAAGTTCAGGAGAAACTGGTATTTAAGCTCACACTCATTTTCTGGTTTTTTGGTTGTAATTACCTTATAGACAGTATTTGTAGAGGAAAAACACTGTCATTGGCCCTGCACAGGCCATTATGAGACTGTGTTTTCCACTGATCTGCATTTTACCCAAACTTTAATCAGTCTAACTGAACACAGTGCCTCTGAAGCATCTGGAAGGTGTCATGGAGTAGGCTGGAGCCCTGGAGTTGGACTGGGAGGAAGGTGATGGTCCATGATGGTCCAGCTGAGCAGCAAAGTCCTGCCCAGCCTGAGACCCAGGCTTGATGGTTCAGTTCAGGGTCTGAGAGCACACCAGCTGCCTGCAAGGGCTACTCCATAGGGGAAGAATATCTGGGAGCTGAAAGTGAAAACAGGGCAGGCCAAAGCACTGTTCTCATGCTCAAGGGTACCCAAGCAAGGCAAATAGAGCAGGTCYAGTGACGTTGCTCAAACATTTGAAAGGCCTTAAAGTTCATGAATGTGAGAATGTGATGGAGTTTTATTTCTACTGTCCCACACAACCACGAGCTATGCTCTAGAGTAGACTTTTACAATGGTAATTGTCACTGCTCTAGATGTGTAYAGAAGCAGGCAGTCAAAATGAAGACATCTGTCTCCTATGAAGTCAAGAGTGTCCAGGSCTAGAGATTGTGAAGTGGAAGCAATTTGCCTCCCTCTGTGCAGAGGCTGCGTTTATGATGGCTAAGGAATAGTGTTTGATTTTCTCTTTCAGTCCCTACAATAGGCTGTACAATGTGTTACCTAGTACTGTTATTAAAGCTGAAAGTAAAACTCTCATTTTACTGCCTCTCCTATTACTTTGAAGTGAACCTATTCAACCTGGCTGAAAATGAGTACAACTGAGAAAACTAAATTTTTTGCAGGCCTTATATTTTCAGTTCAATGGAGTGTCAGACAAGAAGTGAGGCAGAGGAAAAAAACAGTTTGAGTCTACTTATTTGTGGCTCAGGTGTTATACTGAGTGAGCCATATTATAAGCCATACTGATGTCTATGCACATTTTGCCTCAAGTTTCAACTCTTGCTAACAAGAATTTAAAAAAAAAATCTGTCTTGCTGCTCTGGGTTTTTACAGAGAGAAAAGAATAACTCTTTCATCTGCCTGGTTTGGAAGTCCTTACTCTATTCTCATTTCGTATGCTATCCCTAAATGTTCAATAAAGGCAAGCAAGTTGGTTTGGGTGAGACTTTATATATGCAGTTTAATCTTTGACCAGAGAGAAAATGAAGCATTTTTTTTCACTCCTGTAGAGAGTAAGAGAGCAGGAACGCCGAACAGATGCTGAATGGGACAGACAACGTCTCCAGGCTGCRAGAACTCTGTTGCTTTTTGAGCGGCAGCAGCAGCGGGAGAATCGGGTACAGCGCCAAGATTTGGATGATGTAAATGCAGTGCTCTCTGAGGAGCAGAAGGCAAAGTAAGTACCAAAAGAGTGTTCTTCAACTAAAAAAAACTTCTTTATCATTATTAACACAATAGCTTGGTTTTTAAACAGCTTCTTTGTTGTTTTGATTGTAACTTTTTTAATACGCTTGTTACTAGTTCATGCTTTTTAAAAAAAATCAACAATTCACCTGAAATGTGCTTTTTAGTGTTTTTTAATCAATCTTCAAAGAGTAGGTTTTGAGGGTTAGGTTTTGGAATTCTTAAAAACATTCCGCTGACAATAGACTGTTTACATAGATGGCAAATAGTGAATAAATATAATTAGCTATGCAGAAAATTATGTTACCAGGTGAAAAACACGTTTCTTTAATTTATCTTAGTTTTCTGAAACAGAAAAGGATGAACTGCCAGTTTGTGATAGCTCAGGGTTAAGCTAACAACACAGAGCATTTCCATTATGTATGATAGAACTAGATGATTCTTTAACTAATCACTGGATGTGCCTTGGTGGGAAGCTCTTGTGTCTGCTTTAATGGGAAAGGAGGAAGATAATAAGCATAGAAAAAGAAAAACAAACCCAAATGATTTGGTGTTCTATTTTTCCAGTTCCTTTTTTTTTTCCTCTTTTTTTTGGGCATGAATACAGAATCAGAGAATAGTCAGTTGGAAGGGACCCAGAAGGGTCATCAAGTGTAACTCTTAAGTGAATGCTCATRTGTGACCTTGGCATTATTAGCACCATACTCTGACCAACTGAGCCAGCCTCAGGGTCATGCATACCTTTGCAAATGAATTTCCAATAAATGATGTTTTCTTATTACAGAAGCAAGAGTTTGGAACTGTGTTAGTTTAGGTGTTTTTACTGTGAGATTTTTGGAGGGATATTTCAGGATGAAAAAACCTAAGTTTGCCTTATTGAGATGCAGCATACATTTTGCAGAACAAGTTCTAGTTACATTWAATTCCATTTCTAATAATTTATGAGTATTTATGGATGTTAATGCATTACATCTTCTTTAGGTTTCTCAGGCTATTTTTGCAGAAAACATGTACTAATGACTTAAAAAAAATATTTCTTTCTAGGAACATTTATCTTAAAGAAGAAGCGTATTCAAATATTCCAACTGAGGCGTATTATGCACAGTTTAATACAACCACCCGGTGATGATCTGGATAAATCAACCTGAATTATACAGAAGTATGTAGACATAGTAAAATTTTCAATTGAGCAATCCCATGTTTTATTATTTTTATCTGTTCCCTGCCCTGTTCAAACACAAACTAAAGGTTTGACATTTGAAAAAAAGGGACAAGCACAACACAGAGGAAGAAAATAYGGAGAGTCAAGGTAGGAAACTTAGTGCATAAGGGAAATGGATGGTGGAGCTAACAAGGAAATGAAATCCAGAAGAAAAAGAGATGACATGGAGAGGTCTGCAAAAAGGATTAGAAGACTGACCCTAGGAGTCAGAAGATCTGAAAGAGGAGACAAAATGAGAATCAGACAAGAGATTTAGCTAACAATCCAAGACCTCTAATATTGTGAAGCTTTAACAAAACGAGAGTGCCCATTTATGAAAATAGGTCTTGAACTGTAACTTGACAGCATATGGGACATAAATTTGGGGTAAAAACATCCTGGTGATGTTAGCTTGCAGTCCACTGATTGTTCTTTGTCTGAGCAATAATGGTGACATCSAACGAACTTTGTGGTGAAACAGGTTGAAGAAAAACCCTGAGGCTGAGGTAAACTCAAATGAGTTATTCTCATCTGTGTGAAAATAATGAAGGATGCATGGTTCTTGATATATTATTAGGAGGAATTAAAGATGTTTGAAGTAAGCATTTCTTGAAATTTCAAACAGGTCGGTTTGCTCAGCTGAAGTAGTGCCYTGTGGGATCAGACTAATACAATGTTATGGCTGATGCTGATTAAACAGGAGTTTGGAAAAGATCTGTCATGGGATTTTAGATAGGTGAAAGAAAATCAAGGAGAACATTAAAATGGTTAAAGAAGAKCCTTTCAACATGATAATCCTAAGGTAAAAGATATGTCCCAATTTTAGTACATTGATACCATGGGAATTAATTGCAGTATAGATAGAAGCAAAGCAGGAAAGCAGTGTGGCTGAAATACAGGAACTGAAGGGAAAGCTGGAAGATGAAGTTGAGAGGGGATCACACTTTCACTGTTAATAATGAGCTGGTCTACAAAGAAGTAAGAAGGAATGATATTCAAGAGATTCCAATGTTATAGCATTTGGAGACCCATTGATTTGTCAGACTGAGATTCACATGTAGCTGGATGCCTTTGGAGTATTATCTAATGCTTTATTAAACTGACAATCTCAGAAGTGCAGGTATGTGTCTTATAATAGACAGGCCATGAAATGAGATGGGAGGATTAATATGCCATCTATAGTAGTTCTCATGTCACTTAAAGTTGGGTTTGATCTGTGTTGAATATCTCAGACTTTGACTTTTTCTTTTTTAACTAGAATTTTAGTTTCCTGACAGAAAAAAAAGATGAATAAAGCAAGTGCTGAAAAGTTCATGAAGTTGTCTTCATTTGTGCAATTTCTGTGAGTAGATGCAGAGTTTACAACAGCTGTAAGGTTTAACTAAATGATCCTGGACCTCAAAAGGTGATGTTTGAGTTTCCTTCAGGAAGGACTGTGTGATTAAAGCCTTTTTGTATTACCTATTYGTTTGTTTGGAAACATTTTATATCAAGTCAGAGAAGAAGAGGTTTCTCAGCTGAACTCTGAATAAGCCTTTAGATGGAAATTCAAGTAAGACTGATACTTCAATAATTGGGTAGGCTCAGACATCACTGAATTTCCTAGAAAACTTTCAGCATCATCAATTGTATTTGCAAAACAACCATGTTCCATTGTACCTGTTGCTTCTAGATTATAAAAATGACATTTATTTTGGGTGTTAAAAAAGAAGCACAATCACATTGTAGATAACATGCTTAATGTAAAGGTGAAAAGGTCTGATTCATTGCTATTGAATTCATATACTTTTATCTTGCACTGGAACAAGCCATGTTTTCAGTAGGTAGCTAACCAAGAAACAGAATGGAAAACAAAAAAAAAAGTAGAAAAGTAATTACATAAATTATGGATGAAAAAYCAGAAACACCAAAGCATGACTGTATAAAAAGTAAATTATGAGTAAATTATGGAAGTAATATTTGATGCTTCTAATTTTTTTCACTTTTGAGCCTCTTAACAGGTAATTTCTGAACARAATAGAGCACAGGTCACTGAGGAGGTTCTAGTCAGGATTATGGACACTGTTGGCTGCAGCCATGATTTGAAAGTTCAGGTGTGTACAGCTATGTGACCACTCTGCCAAGACACGGGGAGCAGTACTGAGCTCAGGAAAATTGAAGGTGACAGTTCCTGTAAAGCCTCTTTCACTCTGAAGTAAGTTTGCCCCTCTTATTCTGTAGTTCACAAGGTGTTTTGATGCAGTATTATTCTGCAAGGAAGCCATGGTTTGACATGTTCCTGTTACAAACTTTCCCTTGCACATGTGGCTTTGAGCTTGATGGGCAGCACAGCTGCAGGTCTGGACAAAGCACAGTTTGTGTTCAGGTGACACAGGAGGGAGACTGAGAATTTTACAGCAAAATTGCATCAAGGATAAATTAAAATACCATTACATCATTTATGAATTGAGGCTTTTCTATAAATGCATCATAACATCAGAATACAGTAGTCTCATGTGTACCAACTTATTTTCTTAAGTGGAGATGACAGCATTACTCAAGTATTTTCTCTTGACATTTACCTTCACAAGAACATCAACAATCCCATAGTTAATCCTAGAGCAGCTAGTTATAAATGACAAAATTTTCCAGTAAACTGAATCATGAATTAATACATAAAGCAGAACTGAACTAACACTTCAATTCATAGTAAGGCAGGTCTGTAGGCCCTGGAATAATGGTTGTTATACTGGTATCTTTAAGAGTTTATCTTATTAACAAATAATACTAGAATAAATAGAAGTAATTTGCTGTGCTGGTCAAACTCAATATACTTGTTTATTGTTCATTAACTTTTTCTAATGAAGTGATCTTYTGTACTGAAATATGACAATAAAACAGCTTTCTAGTACTTATGARGGCCCTGAAGTAGAAGGTTGAGGCCTTTCTTTTTCCCCTAGCCTTTGGTATGTTGAGTTATAATTAGTAACTTTGGGGCACATGGAACTGTTCATACTGAAAGATAAAWTACATCTCAGTGCTGCACTGGCTCAGAAGCTCATAGCTCAGCATGGAGAGGTTCTTTGGAAGGTGTCTATTATGTCTTTCTCTTACCTTCCCCTAAAAAATTGTGTAAGTTACTATCAAAGGCAGGATATTCTGGTAGATGGACAGCTGGTCTGATCTACTAAATTGTTCATGTTCTGATATTTTCCTGTAAAAAGCAATTCTCCAACATCAGTTTTGTTTTCCTTTTTCTGCAGTGCATAGAGGAAAAAGGAATTATGAGCCCTATCTTCTGCATGGTCTGTTTGTCCTCTCTGAAAACAGAAGAGTTATATCCACTGGGAAATGTCAGTTACTAGATGTGCACATCCTAGAACAGACAATGGAGATCACCTTTTTAAAACGTTATATATTATCCAGGTTTTYCAAATAGACAGGAAAATAATTTCATTCTTCAGCAATGATGTCACYGAGCTTGTAGCCCAAATGGTGTTCTCATTCTTGGCAAGGAACATTAAACAAAGAATGTATGGTTTTCAAATGTTGCTCAGATTCAGTAAAAAGCATTTACGCAAACAAAAGATGTTGTTGTGTCTAGAAACTGTTGTTTATCTTTAGAGTGGAGCCATGTTAATAGTTTTAATATGCTAAAACATGAGATCCTAGATGCACAGAATAATCAAATTCTGTTTGTCAGCCTAAAAACATTGTTATCCTGTGACCTGAATTAGGAYTATGTGCAAGGGAGAGAGAAGATTGGGATGCTGAAACTCAGGCCATGGGTAATCTGTGCACAAACTAAATACCATTGAAGTTGTTTTTTTTTTATTCTTGCTTTTGATGGAAATTATAGTTGCCTTTATCAGTATTTTTTTAAATGTCTAGAGAAAATATATGTATAATACATATAATAGCCATCATACTGCATCAATACACAAATTTACTGATGTCTTTTTTTTTTTTTTCTGGAATCTTGAAGGAGATTTGCATTGAAGAGGCATTGTGAGTTTTGGGTCAAAGTGTCCACATCAAAAAATATTAAAGTCAACAGTGGGATCTCAGTGCTTTTGGTATCCTCTGTTTTCTTACCAGTGCTTATGATTTAATCAAAGGATGTGATGGTAYTGAGTGTGAATATGTGGAATTATTTTCATACTCATGTTACACAAAACAAGCAGAGACTGACACTTTCAGCTGAGAGTATTATCCCTCTAATAGAAGGTAAGAATACAGAAATAGATATGAAGCAAAATGAGAAGCATATTCTTGTGATKATTTACTTGGCTGCCAATGTGAATTTTCAATTTTGACTTTTTTCTCTATTTTTATCTGGTTTTTTATCATTATAGGTTAGTATATGCTTGCTTCATATATATCTGTATCTCAGTCAGAATCTTAATTTTGCCCAAGGTTGAGAAATTTGTATATTCTTCCTTTCACTGCAATACTTTTCTGACATCCAGTTAAGTAGTGACCTGTGATCTGATAAGGCCATTCAATGTGTCTATTGAATTTGGCCCAATCTGTGAAAATATTGTACGAGAGATGTGTGAAAGCACTAGGAAAACAAAGGAGCAATTTAATTTCATTTTAAAAAGTATTTTMGCCAATCTGGCTTCCTTTTTGCCCCTGTTAATTTGGGGGTTTTTTGCCTTTAATGTTTACCCTAGTAGAAGATTTTTGATCTACAAAGATTATACCAGTTCAACTAGAAATTGCTTATCAGAGTTAAATGTAAAAGGAAGTAATGCAGTTGGAGTAACATGGAGCAGGAATGGGTAATTTTGACGTGTGAAGGTAAAAGCTGGTTTGGATTGAGAGCAGACACTGGCATGGCTGTTTGATTTMTTTGAATAACATTGAATGCATGTTGGGTTTTGCTAATATTTTAGACAAAAATATTTTTTTGCTAAAGATGTTTTTTTTTTTTTTGAGATACCCTGCAAACCAATCAAATCTAACTCATTGCAGTCTTAAATGATTACAGCACATTTTAAGTTAAAAAAAGAAGTAAAAAATACACAATTTTTCTGTGTGATGGTGTTCAGTTGTAGTTATTATTATTGTAATTAYGAAAGGCCAAAAAGTTCTTCACTCATGTGCACAACTTTTATTGACAAAGCCCCAGCAATTGCCCCTAAAATATTCTAATTTTCATCCTGCTGCTTTTCATCCTGCCTTGCATCCACGCTGACTGGATTTACAGTACGGATGCTGTAATTGGAACATGCTCCTTGCTGTCTTGAGCAGTTTTCTGAGCAGTATTTTCCAAGTGTTTGTGACATTTACCATATGGTTTCCAATTCAGTGCTGGCCACAGCCTGGCTGTCACCAGCAGACATGAACAGCACAGCTTCAGAAACTCACGTTCTTTACTCCTTGTGTCTTGCATCAGTTCCCTTTTGCAAAAAAGCTGCACTAAACTACTCTTCATTGAAAGAGGAGAAATTGAAATAAAGTGTTCTATACACGTGAAGCTGCTGCCCACGCACAGGACAATGATCTGCATCTTCTCTAGCAGTACTGTTTGTCCTTTTACACCCCTTCAGTTAACTTTAGAGTTCCTTTGATTAATTACTTAATATTGATAAAAGAAAGAAAAACTGCAGATATTAAGAGGGGGTAAGTAGCTCAGCTGTTATTACAAACARGACAACTTATTTCTGTGAATATTGCCATCTTTCTGTTAGTTTTCTGTCCCAAATTTTAATYAGTAATATTTTGGCACGTGTGCGCTCTTGGCCTCTAAAAGGAATTCTGTTTCCCATTTTGTCCTACATGGTGGAGTTTTAAATATTTTTAGGTGTTAATTCATGCTGAATTCAGAAAGAATTAAATGCCTTTATAAATATAGTGACTTAATATAAATAATAATTAGAAATGTAGCCAATGAATTGGGAATATCATGATCCAGACAATATTTTCTTACTCATCTTTCATTTGCACCATAGGGAGCTTTCATGAATGGGCCTAGAAGATTCAGACAGTAGAAAAAGAGTATCTATTTAGGTTTTGCTTTCAGGTTTCTGTGAGGCAGTGTTGTATCAAGAGGATACAGGACTGTGTAGCTGGCTATGGAACACTG